TATCATATAACACTGTCATAAGCAGGATGCTGTTGACTGGTAGTGGGGGTCCGTGTGTGTGCATGTGTGTGGGAGTTGGGGAGTGGGGCAGTCCCTGGAGCGTGCCAGTCCCTGGAGCGGTCTGTGGGGGCAGCATGTGGGCTGAGCTGCACCGAGCCCTGTGTGAAGAAGCCAGCGGTGCAGGTTATGGGGCTCGGCTGGGGTGACTGGAGAGGGACGGAGTCAGCCCAGCTCCATAGCACAGAGCTCCCCGCTGATCCCCATGATCTGCATGTAATAGTGAGTGCAGCCAGGCTGCCAGCTCCACTGCATGTGGCTCAGGCAGACTGCAAGTGAGCCTCACACGATGCAGTGAGGCAGATCCCACTCTCAGGCTCTGCACTCCTGCTGCCCCACTCTGGGTCCCCACCTGCACCAGCGCAGTCCCTGTGTCCTGCCCCTCCCCCACCACTGCCACTTTCCCTGCCACCCTTCCCCTGCTGCTTCTCTACTTTCCCTCCCATGTGCCTGCCTGTCACTGCTACTGCTGCTTCCTAGCTACCACTGCTCCCCCTGCCTGTCCGCCCACTGCTGCTTCCTGCCCCACCTCCCTCCTGGCCAGGCTGGCTCCATGTCATGCTGTGCGGTCCTGGCCACGCAGTGGTGAACTGCACGGTGCTGGCCAGGGTGAGTTGGGTCTGGCAGGATGCGGTTCCCAGCTGCACAGCCAGGACTGAATGACATAGCATGGAACCAGCCCAGCTCAGCCTGGCCCCTGTGGAGTGGGGCAATCATTGGCCATCCTTCCCCCTCCCCCTTCCCCCCCCGTTTTTATCCAAAACTCTCTTGGACAGAGGGAGGGGCGGGGGAACAGCCCCATGGTCACCAGGCCAGAAGCCTCTGCTAGGCAGAAGCTTCTGATTGGGGTTTGGGGTTTGGAGGGGTTGAGTGGGCCTTGCAGCTGCCGCTGCTGGATCCAGCTGCCACTGGCATCTTGTCAGCTTCGACAGCCATCCGGCAATAGGTAATAATTTTCTAAATTTTAGTGGGGCCCTACAGGCTGGACAGAATGGTCTGGCAGGCCACATCTGGCTCACGGACCTTATTTTGCCTGCTCCTGTTACAGAGCATCCCTTTTTCTCCCAGAGATGCGAACAGCAACTCTCTAGCTACAGTTCAGGATTTTTGCTCTGAAACTGGGAATAAAAGCAGTTCTATTAGCACAAGACATCAAACAAAGTAATTAGAGTGTTCAAAAGCACCCATGTGACTCAGAAGCCCATGTCCTGTTTTTTGAACAGACTTAAGCATTGCAGCTTTGAAGGTGGATGGGGTTTAATATCACTTCTGAAAATTGGGTGTTGGCTCCACTTAAGCATTTTTTGAAACTTTTACCCAGAACTGATGACATTAATATAAGGGAAGCCTAACTGTTCTTTCACAGAGTAGTCTCCCTCTGATTTCACCAGGACTTGGGCCCAGGTCAATGGCAGGCACTGGGGATATTCAGTATGGATCATGGGCAACTTTTCCAAATAAGGTGTTAAGTCTCTGATTCACGAGTTTTTTTCAATCTTCTCTACCCCTTTTAGCATTACCCTACCATATTCTGTGAATGTTCTTACCTGTATTTGTGCCTCAGCATCTCGAACAGATATATTCAGGGAGCTGACAGTAGACCCCGAACGTGGTCTCTTCTCCTGCCTCAGGATCTCTGGGCCAGCACTGAAGGAATGCCTCATTTGGCCCTGGTCTACAAGATGCTGTGGTCGCTGGGGAAGAGGTGAATCTTGCCCTCTTGAGCCCAGCAGCTCCCCTTTCTTTTCCACTTTGACATCTTTGACGAAACTGGTCAGGTTATGTTGCTGCTTTCTTTTCTTATACTCTGTCATGAGTTTGGAGATAGTCTTGTCAGCAGCGATGGTATAGATTTTGTTGCCAGCATTCTCCCACCATTCTTTTTTCCTGGCTTGATCCTTTTTTTCCATCTTAGGGCTCAAGGGGGATGGTAGCAGCAGCATTTCTCCACTCCCTCCCTTGGGAGTCAGACTGTCTGCCAGATAGTCTCTAATTTGACTTCTGTCATCTTCTGAGGGTGTGTCCCTCCCAGACAGCCCTCCAGTTGATGGGGTGGAGGTTTCTGATTGAAAGGATGGTAGGATGAAAAAAGGGTCACCTTTGAAAAGTGGAGGCTCCTCCATAGTATTCTCTAAGTCCAGGTGCATTTGGATATAGTTGTTGCACAATTCCATGCATAGTTTGTGAAGCCTTTTGATTAGCCAACCCCAGTCTGCATTGCTGACTGGCTGGACACTCAAAGATGGAATTCGAGCTCTCCACTGCCTTTTCTCTTTCCCCCGTGGCGGGCTGACTTGGGCAGTTTCTTCAAAAATGTCTTCATCCTCTGATGAGCACTGCTGGGAGGAATCCGTGCTTCTTTCGTCATCCTCAAAAAGGATCTTCTTCACTTGGTCTGCGGTGATGTTCTCTTGGTTTGTCAGAATAGCACACACCAAAGCATGGAAATAAATGTTGAAACTCATTGCTGACTGGCGGTACAAGTTGGCTGCCCCACTTATGCCAGACACTTTTTTCAGCAAGCACTTCAAACCAGGCCTGGTGTCAAACTCTCTGGCTGTTCGATAGGAATCCAACAGTAAGTCAAAGATGGCAGCCAAATTCTGCATAGAAATGTACCTAAGAAAGCCAGCCAGTTTGTTTTCTGGTACTTGTATGGTCTTCTCCTCCATGTGAGAGGGCCCTTTCACAAATTCTTCCAACAAGATATCATACAAATTTTGGAGGAGTACTTGATGGGACAACAGACTCACCACTATGGTCCTGAAAGGAATACTAGATGCCACAAACAAAGAGAAAGAAGGTAGACAAATTAACAGCTGATAAGTCATCCATTGTCATGCTACACTTTATTTTAGATTGACATATAAAAGATACAAAGGGCCCAATTTTGCCTTTCCTTATTTGCTTCTGTAATCTAGACTCACACCTGAAGTCTCATTTATTACAAAAGGGTGGGTTTAGCACCTTAAATTTTCTGGGCTGGACCCTAAACCAGAGATATCCTCATGCAAACTCCCTTCAAGGATGGCAGACATTGTGAACATCTAAATAAGAGAGGGTGAATATAATTCTGAGACACCGCAACGAAGAGCCAAGACAAAACTGGTAAAAGCAGAGTGCTCATATTGTGATTGCAATGGTTATTCCAATAGTATACTGCAATTTTGCTATTTCTGTTGCCTTTGAAGATACCTGACATACTGACTGTGTGATTAAATATTCTCTTTTTTCAGTGCCATGACAACTGAATTTATTCTACACACTGTAGATTCCAGTAACTGGAAGAATTTATGTCAACTCCTAGAGATTTTTTTTTGGTTTAGGCCCTTGGCTCACTGTCTTGCCTGCTTGCTTCATGTTTTGCTGTGCTCTGACACCCTCTAGTGGGAAAACCCTTACAACAACTCTATGTAAACCCTAGAAAAAGTTGTGCTTTGCTCTAACAAGGTTAGACCAGTGGTTTTCAAACTTTTTTTGGTCACAGGCCCCTAAAAAATTTCCAGTGGAGGTGCAGACCCCTCTGGAAATTTCAAATGGAGGTGCGCGCCCCCTTTGAATTGTAAGTATGAGTATTCACACACTTTTGATTGATCATAGTTATCCTTCACGGACCCCTTAGACATAGGTCTGTGAATCCCCAGGGGTCCTGGACTGCAGGTTGAAACCCACTCGTTTGGACAATACACTACTGAAAGGTCAATTGCCATTTCCACTTCTGGTTAAGCCAGTAACCTTACTAAAGCCTCTCAGATACAACCAAGATGCCTCTAAAACACAGACATAAAGCATATAACAAAGATTGTGCTATGACTCTATTTCATTTTAAATGATATCACTCTGTTTGTAAGAGTCTATCTAATTGATTCCAGGTTGACTGCATTAAATAGAAGCCTCCACCTGAACACTGTGAATATGATATGGAAAAATCACTCAGTCATTATTATTCTCATATCCCTGCTCCCCTCGGTAAGATTAGGAACACCTTATAATACCTCCCTGAATTCAAGGTCTGCATCAGAAGGCCAGGATTGCCAAAGAGCCTTTCAAATTTTGAAAGGTTCACCAGTGAGTAACATTTAGAATCCTACTGCAATGACTAGGGAAGAAAGGCTAGAATACGGCTGAAGGCACAATTTTTAATCCATACGTAATACCGGTGTCTCAGTTTAAGATAGCTTTCATACTCTCTTCAGTCTTTATAATTACTGTATCATTAGAACTACAACTCATGTTGTGGCAAACATACATGAACAGCAGTGTTGGTCTTGAGTAGGGGTGGGCAAAATCCAGCTTGTGAGGCCATTCTATCTGGCCCGCGGGGCCCCTAAAAATTTTTTGAAAATTCAAACTTATCTGTCCTTGGTTCCTTTCAAAAATGACAGGTACCAGGGGCAGTAGGACCCACAGGAAGCCCAGCAGGCTCCCGCAACAGCAGGGTCTGCCTGACCTCGCCCCTCCAGCTGGGGCTTCTGGCCTTGGACCACATGGCTGCCCTGCCATAGGAAGCTCAGGTAAGGTGGGGTGGGGAGGGAGGAGGGGGAAAGGGAGAGAAGGAGCTGGTGCAGGGCGTGGGGAAGAGGACCCTTTCACCCACCCCGTAGCCAGCATTCCTTGATGCAGCCTCTTGCAGCCCACACGGGGCTGTCCTGAGCAAGCACAGCAGCCCCATACAGGCTGTGAGTGGCTGCAGCACAGGGTGCTGGCCACAGGGTGGGGGAGGGGTCGCTTTTCCCCACACAGCACCAGCTTGTAACTCACCCACCAGTGTTTGCTGCTGCTGCCCACCTGGAGCTTGTGCTGCAGTAGTCTGCGGTAAGGCTGCCACCACCACCCCCCGTGCTGCCCAGCACGCAAGCTCTGGGTGGGCAGCAGCAACAGCAAACACTGCCCGGCACGGCAAGTGGGGGGGCCGCAGGTGCTGCTGCCATGGCACAGCCCTGATGGGCAAGCCCAGAGCCGGCGCAGGGCCCAGGCTGGCAGCAGGAGCAGGTTACAAGCTGGTGCTGAGTGTGGGAAAAAACGGCCTCTTGCCTATCCTGTGGCTGGCACCCTGCGCTGCAGCCGCTCTCAGCCTGAACGGGGCTGCCTGTGCCTGCTCAGGACAGCTCTGCATGTGCTGCGAGTGGCTGCAGCAAGGAGCACCAGCCACAGGGCAGGCAAGAGGCTGCTTTTCCCCACGCTCCAGCGAGCAGAGGGTTGGGGCTGTGTGCTGCTCCCTGCTTGTACTGCAGGGCTGGGGGGCACTGGGAATAAGCAGGCGTGGGAGCACAGGGTCTGCACCAGTGTCCCAGGGCCAGTGCCAGCAGGGCGGCAGGGGTACAGGGTCTTAGCCAGCAGGGGCTTTACGGAGCTGGGCCAGCTCCCCCTCTCCCTGCTGATGCAGCCCAGCCTGGCTCCACAGACCCCTGCCAGCCTGTGCCCTGCTCTGGGCCCCACTGGTGCTGGCCCTGGGGACATTGGTCCGAAGACATTGGGACACTGGTCCCAAGATTGTGACCAGGGGTGGGGCACCTGTCAAGGGGCAGGGCTACCCAGGCAGCCCTCAACAGCTTGCCAAAACTGGGTAAGCGGCCCTCTGCTCAAAATAATTGCCCACCCCTGGTCTTGAGAGTAGGGATGTGTCACAGTGGGCATGTCTACATGAGACATTTACTGTGAAACTGCCTAATTAGCTCTGCAGTAAAGTCTGTTTCTACACGTGCGGCCCTATTAGGCCACAGTAAACTAATTAACTCTGTTGTAGGTTAGTACTTATAAATATGGCAGCAACGTTCTTTACTGTGCAGTAACGCATGTGTAGACACTGATGGAGCTGGCTGGGGCACAAGGGTGCTAAGGTGCGGGAACTACCTGCCAGCTAACCCTGCACTGTAGCACCCTTGTGCCACAGGAAGCCCCTCCAGAGCACGTTGAGCCAGGTTGGAGGAGCCCTGGGTTGGCAGGCTGACCCCATGAACCTGTGCCAGCTAGGGCTGCTCTAACTTGGTTCAACATGCTGCAGTCCCAAGCACATGTGTAAATGCAGTACACCTGGGAGCAATAACCTGGTGCATTATGCACCAGAGTTTATTGTGTTGCATGAATTGCACCTGTAGATCTGCTCACTTTTTGGTCAGCAAATGAATGAATAACTGATTTTCCAATATACTTGCAATACAGAGAAAAAATAGTTTTGAGTTGAATCCATTCAACTTGACATGTTTGATCCAGGGATTAAACATTTTGTTTGTTTAATTCTCAAGATTTTTATATGATTTGAAATGTGTTTGAAAATTGAAGTTAATTTTGAAATACAAATAGTTTCAAATTGAAAATTTGAAACATTTTATTTACAAAGTGTTAAAAGAAAGTATTTAGTGGGGGGGGGATTTCCTTGTTTTCAAGTGAAACAAGTCAGTGAATTTGACACACATTTGTGAAACATGCTGTTCAAACTGAACTGGCATTTTTCCATGCCCCAGATTTTGCCCACCCCTAGACAGCATGCTTCTGCCATATAAATGCATGTCACCCAGGTTGAAAATGTCAAGAGGCAATCAATTCCTGTGTGCATGCATGCCAGACAACAGTTTTACTGCTTTCCATGTAAACAGATGTGCATTGAACATGACTTCACTGGTTGGCCTTGGTGACTTGGTAAAATCTTTACAGGTCTCATATCATATAAGGAGGATGATAATGATAAAATCTTGATGCTTTTTTTTTCTAGGAAGTCATTTGCTTTAAATACAATACAGAGACCCTTGTTCAGCCAGGCACGTGCCTAATGGAGTGCTCCAATTTCAAGGAAAGAAGTATGTGTCAAAATCAGGGAAACTGGCAGTTTAATAGGCGTACAGACCAATTGAATCATATATTTAAGGTACTACAGGTTGGAGTGTTATTTCCTTACTAAACACTAAAAGAAGGTGCTGACTCAGGCGCACAGATGTGAGCACATGACACCAAGATAAGATTCAGGATAAGATCCTTCTATTGCCTCTTGTTTGCAATTGCAAATTACAAAATTACATTGTAGGAAGAGAAAAGATCTCTTACCCCAGCTTCCTGTGAAATGATGCAGCATTAAGGAAACAAAAATCAAAAGGGGAAAAGAGAAACTCCACTAAGGTTAAAGCAACATTTTAGCAAAATTAGACCACTCTTAAGCATGCAAGATGGAGTGCAAGTGCATTACTGCAGAAAAGAATAATATGAAAATTAATATCAGGGTTAACTTTCAAATTCCTACTTCAAGTAGGAAGTAGGCAGAATGGTGGAAGCACACTTAAATTGGAAAACAAGGACAGACTCTTTCTGTTGTTCTTTGGATGCTGCAGGAGCATTCAAAGAGTCTGCTGTCAGACACAGCGCAGTGATCCTTACTAAAATATGAACACGTCTCTTGTTCCATTATAAAGTACCATGGACCAGACTGGGACCTATTTGTTAAAGGGGCATTATACAATCTGTCCCATTTTATAGCATGAAGAGGGATGAGTCCCATGAATGCAAACGTTTCTGACCCTCTTTTTGGAGTCTTGTTTCTTGATGGGCAGCAGGAGAAAGCAGGGCCCAAACTCCCAAGAGGGTAGGGAGCATCAGGACTGCTAGTACTGGAGACAGTGCACAGCCATGCAAGGCTGGGTGGCTTCTTGCATGCCCTCCTTGCTCAACCAAAGGATGGCCATCAAGATGTGGCCCTTTGCAGTGTAGAAGGTTTTAGCTCTGAATGAGGAGGGGTGAAAAGGATCTTATTTGGCACAAAACCTGCTTACAGGATATTTCACCACACACACTTCATTCCCTGAATATATCATTGCTCATATTACGTTTCCAGTTATATAAATTCACCATTCTCATTTTGCTCCGTATTCATACAACTCAAAGTGATGTTACTTCCGAACTGCTACTTTGCCAACAAAAATGTCGTGACAAGATCAGAATAACAAACTGTCATGCAATCACATGCTGAAAGGTCTGTGATGACATGACCGGAGGGCTTTCCACATGAAAAAGAAATGCGACCAGAAAGAATTCTTCACATTAGGCTGTTGAGACTAATTCTTTGGCTGTGGATACTACTTTTTCCACCAGGAAATTAGTTAATGTTGTTCCACTAGACCCATTATTTTTTCCCACATTACTTCCCATTCATAATTCAACAGCATTATGAATTTAAGAGGCTTTTTACAGAAACAGGTAACACTAGATTTTTCTCTATGCACAATTTCGATGCAACAATAAAAATAATTAGAAATCTTATCAAAATATTTGTGCAGCTCAAGTTAAACTGACTTTCATTTCCTACAGTCTGGGCTATTCATTTGCAAGCTGTACCTAGCACTTTGCAAGTTTCTGAAAACTCTCGTGAGAATTTCTGCATTTGGCTCATGAAAAATCGAAACACTGCACTGAAGGAAATCTGTAGATACCAGAGATGGAAAGGAAATAGCACTGCACGGCATTGAGGCCAGCTCTATCTGCTCATTCATGTACATAAACTCCACATAATTTATCAGCTCTTTTTCCAGTCTAATTTTTACTTACCAGATAGCCCATAATCTGATTTTTTTGGGAGTGTTGCCCAATTCAACAGATCTCAATATTAGATATACTTTCCAGCATTTTGTCTAAAAACTTCATTTTTTCTTAATTTTATCCATATTTTCTTTAGCTGAATTCTCTTGCATATTTCTTCAAGCACACCTTGCATCTAATTTCCCACAACTGTATCCAGCCATTCACTATGTTGCACATATTTACTTTTGTAAATGCTCACTTGTGTCTGAAGTCCATAATAAGGCCATAAATAATCTTATCCCAAATAATCCCAACTATACATGAGTGGGACTAATGTTAGTGCCAGTTGCTCAGCAAGCAAACCGCACCATCTAATACTCAGCATTTTCTCACAAACTGTTCCCTCAAGCATTGTGATGACTTTTAATTGCTCTTTTCTAAATTCCGTTTGATGACTATTTCTGGTGAACCTAATGAAGAGGCTTTCAGTTTTCACACTGTTACCACTGCCAGTGGTATTTAGGCACATGCTGTAAGAGCAGTAGAACTATGGGACAAGCTGCTTAAAGAAGTTCTGGAAGCTCTTTCACTGAGGCTTTCAAGAGGAGGATTCATAGCATCAGTCTGGGTTGGTTTAAGAATAGTAAATCTTGGTATTTGTGCAAGTGTCTAGAGTACATGACCCTTGAGGTCTCTATGACTATAAGCGCCTTCTGGAATGACATCCTACCTTTTCTGTGTATGACCATTTGGTTTCTTGTCAGGAGGCAGTTCAATAATAAGCACGCAGGACTGAGCATGTTCAAATCCCTCCTTATTATTGGGCGTCTTTGGTGAGCATTGGGTGTCTAGCATGAAAACCTATAAAACACAAATTTAGCAAAATGAGCAGTTTAGTACCAAATTTTGTTCATTTCCAGTAACATCCCCAGAATCAAGTATTCTACAATACAAGATGACTCCAAATTCTTATTATTTATTTATAAATGCATTGAAGGAGCTGAGTGCTTGGTAGCAAACAGAGAGACGCTTCTTTTTACCTAAAGAGTTTGGCCTTGGTAAGTGGCCCAGTGTTCGGAGAAAAACTAGACACCTTCCCCAGAGGCCACAGAAAGGTTGGTCTCTATTAATATACTTCAGCTGACTCGTGAAATAGCTATAATTCCAAATCCCTAAAATTCAAGACAAAGGTGGAATAACTTGAAAATGTAAGGTATGAAAACGTAATGTAGGTAGGAGCAGAACAGCCCCCCACCTTAGTGCGGTTAGTCTTCCACTTGGGAAGGTGATCAGAGACTGAGCACTCTGAATAAGGTTATTTGTCAAAGGACCAAACAGGAATCAGGCACCCAATTCATACTCATTTGCAACAGGAGTTGGGAAAATGTTGGCCCTCACAGTTTTTCATGCTTTCTCTCTATCCAGAGAGTTGTGTTAAAGCACAACTGAGCATAATATGTCCTACAGGAACCACTGAAGAAATTGTGTATGAATAAAAAGTTACAGGACCGGTCTTCTCCAATGCACAGCCCCTTCTCTGAAAAAACTGCGAAAAGACGGTCCTGTGTGTGCCAGGGGCACCTATGGGATGTGTCACCCACTGGCTTTCCTTGGCTGTTGTCACCAGCATCTGTTCTACCTCTTAACTGCTGAATGGACTTTTCAAGCAACAGGTACTGACAATAATTCAGGGCACAGGAAAGACCTGCTGGTTTCTTTTAACCATTCCTCTTTCTGTGCTGGACTTCCCTTAAGACGTAGCCTCAATGGTTAACTCAATTTATTTTTAAAATGACAAAAGTGATAGCGCTTTACACTACTTGCTTTGCCTACTAGGGAATTCCCTTAGATCGGGGAGCTGCTGATTTGGTCCTGCTCTAAGTGACAAGCAGAGAAATTAGCCAGGTAAATTTCAATTATACCTAGCTGCACAAGTCTCCAAAGGGAAACAATGGATACACAGAAGGAATCCCTACCACCAGACTCCAAGTTACAGTTGTATGAGCAAAGACACTTTTCACAAGACAATGATCTCCCCTTACTAAGTATATTTGAAAAGAAAATTCCTCAGCTCCTGCTTGATTTAACTTGCTCACAAGGAGGGAGATCATTCTGGTTTCCTTCAGAATTAAATTGTTACCTGTTGTGCCATGGCTCGGATTCTCCAATATTCAGCTTCAGCACTGGGTGAGAGAGAGGGTGCTGCTACCTTCACTTCACAAGCATCTCCACTAAAGCTTTCAGATCCACTGTGGAAATAGCCCAGCAAGTTCTAGAAAGACACACAACATCAGACTTTCAGTGGGTGTGTCTACATGAGGTGCTTAATGCCTACTGGTTTAATTCTACTGCGCACTAGTGCGGTTGGTAAAACCCTTGCTAATGCGCAGTAGATCAATCCAATGTGTATTAAGTGTCTCACACAAAGTGTTCATTTGTGCTAATGCACAGATTACAACTAATTACTGAATGTGTAGATGTGTCCACTGTGTACAAAAACCAGTGAAGTAGTCACAGATGCCTCTAACCTGATGAGCATGTGTTGAGCATTACAAGATTTCTAGCAGTTTGGCCTGGGATGGCCTAATAGGCCTCTCCCTCTCCACCTCAAAAACACATAGGCAAATTCTAATCTGGACTGAATTTGCAGCAAAAGGGATCACTTGGACATTCCTTCCTTTGTCACTTCCTACTCCTTCAAATACTGGCAGTTTTAAAAAGTGTTTGCTACCTATGCTATTTACAATGTCTTTGTAAGAAAGAGAGAGAGAGATATGACTTTAGATTCCAGTGTTATTAATTCAACATTTTATTTTAAATTGAAGTTAACATAATTATAATAATCTATGTCTTAAATTATTTTTTGGTGGATGCAATTTTAAGAAAGTTTTCTTACTCTTAGCTTGTGCAAAATACCATACAGGGCTTGCATGACAATGAAAAATGGGGCTAATTATCCCTGGCAGAACAGCGCATTAACATCATGCTATACCACTTCCAGTACTTGATTGGGTTCATTCAGAACTAGCTTGAGAATTTCTATGTGGAACTATTTTCTGTCATGCAGACCTACACATTACAATTTCTTTGGAAAGGAGTAACCTAGGAGTATCAATGCCCCGACCTTGCTGACATTCACTAGAATTTGGTTTTTACCTTCACTGGCTCAAGAGTGGCAGAAAATGCATCCTGCAAGGCACAGCAGGCCAGTCTCCACATCTCTTCAGTAAAAACAGGACCTGCTGTTACCAGGACGTACCTGCAAAAAAGGACACAAGAAGCCACCAATACGTTCTGTGAATCCCTACAAAATTCTCCCTGGCACAAAAGGAAGGTGGCAAAAGTTAGGGATGCTGGGTGGGGTAAAGTCTAGGCAGCTCATTCATGAGATGCATGCCAGCCATTACACTTGAGACCTATGGGTGCCCATCAGACAGCTCTTTGATTAATTTTCCTAGAGTTTGTGCATTAAATAGCAATGCTGGTATCAGTGTACAGCTAGTATTTCTATGGGAGACTGCTTACATTTAAAAAATAGGCTTTGAATATTATCAGAGGATAGGGTGCATGCATCATGAGTTCATATAGCCAGGCTGTGAGTATTCTCATGTCTACTTTTCACCATAAGGAATGTGGTTCTATAACAAGAAAACAGAGTGGCTGATTGCAGAAGTTCAACTGGAACCCTTCATAGTTTTCTCCACTTATAAATTTTGCTTTTTAAGTAATGAAAAGCATGTTGTAAGACTACTATGGAGATGCTGACCAATCCAACCACTTCATGTTTTTGGCCAAGACTTCTCTATTCAGAAGTCTTAGCAACACTCCTTTCTCCTAAACATACTGGTAGGGAGAGAACACCGGATCATTACCTGATACAGGAACAGCCAACTCTTGAGATTGTTTCTGTAGGCTCTGCTACACATGCTACCAACAACTTGAAAAGGTCTTTTAGCATTGTGTTGATCATATTCTCATAGCCAATGTCTGTGGGGGAGGAAGAAAGACAGAGCAATTAGCATTATCATTTTGCAATATCATTTAGACAAATAGGATCCTTTTTTCTTCTTGTTGTTCAGAGAATTGATAATCAGGTTCCTCCTTAACACGAAAAACTGGTGTACTGGTTTTGAAATATAAAACAAATTGAAGCAAACCTTATCATTTTCAAGCAGTGAGGATGTAAGAGAATACCACTGAAGTACCGTTGCAGAAATTCTGTGCTAGCTCTTATTCTTGCAAATTTTAGGTCAGCTTATTGTTTCATGCTTTTACAATAAACATAACAAAAAATTAATGTCTTAAGGTAAAAGCAAACTGATAGATTGGGAAAGTCTAATTCTGCCAAAAACAAACCATCTCAAATATACACACAGTAAAACACAGCCCCTATAATTACTGTGTCCTTAGATACCATGTTGATGGGGCAGTTCTTACCTGAATGTATAAAGCTTTGGATGTGCTCCACTACTAGTTCACAGGAAAGACCAATTGCATGCTTGAAATTAGCAGATGCCACGTCCCAGTATGAATGGTCACCATGGCTACGATGGAGCCAGAGAGACATTGTTGGGAGAAGAAGATTTACAACTGCATAGATACCAAATCCTGGGCCTGAAAGAAAAAAAAACTACGAAGTCAAACAGATCAGGGATGAGGATTATTAATGAAAAGTTGTGTCTTCCTCACCTCCCTCTGAATACTGTTCCCACAGAGACAGGCTACACCAAGATCCTGATGTCCAAGAGAGCAAGATGACTAACACCACAAGATCTATGTGATCAGCCCCAACAATTCAGGTTCTTGGTGTTAAAAAGCTGATGGTGGTATCTCTATCTCATACTTTCATCCACCATACTTCTCATCTTCTACCCTGGGTACCTGCCATCCATCTTATTCCACTGAACCACCTCTACCTCCAAGCTGCCTGCAACAGATTGTCCTAAAATATCCAAAACACTGTTACTTTAACTAAAGGTCAGTAATGTGTTCAGTGGAGCACACACTTCTGATTGCCTGTGGGAAGCAAACAAATTACCATGCATTTCCTACCATGATGCTAAGGTGCCGGGAGAATCCATCTGTCTTAGTGGATGTGTTGTAGATTTATTGTAAGATTTACGAGAAGCCAGAGCAACCACTTTCAGGGAAGGAATGATCAAAACCATGGCAACATATTGCATCCCCACACCAACCACATGCCCAGAAGAGGGGCATGTATTTTGACCCAGCTCTCCCAGATATATTTCAGAAATGTTTACTTCCCTGGAAGAAAGCAAGTATGTGCATGAAGGAAATGCTGACATGAAGTAAACCTTTGTTCTGGACAGTTTCTACAGATGTGTAGAGACTGGGCCTATACATAATGACATGACAACATCGCAGTGACTAATCTTCAAAAGAACACCATGGCATATATAAGTGAAGTAGACCTTGGGAGAAAAAAAAAGTCATTTGCTGTAAACACAAACCTTTCAGTATCCTCCAACAGGTGCCAAACAATGTCTACAATTATGTTTTTCCTCCTCCCTTTAGAAAGGGATCCTACACATTGTTGTTAGAGCCCCTATGCAAAGGACATAATCCTTTGATGAAATTCCCTTTTTATCCTGGCAATACCGATCTTTACCCAAGTAGAAAGGTTACTGATGAGACACAACCCCTTTTCTATGATGCTAAGCAAACTACTTTCACAGCCCTGGCTGGTTTAACAAAACCTCTCAAAACACCTATTTTAGTACCCACTACTTATGTTTCACAAAATGCACTGTAGATTACAGCAGGATTTTTGGTTTTAGTAGCAAATTATCTCTACATTTTTAATTACCAGGTATTTTGGTAACATCTCTCAGCAACTCAAAGAGTAAGTCCAGGGTGGGAGGCTGGTGCTGACGGGGACAGTTGGATATGGCAGTTGTTAACTCCTCCAGCAGAATGATCCAGACATTAATGAGGCCTAGAAACATGGAAATATCAATGAGACATCAAGAATAAGGTATGAAGAAAGAGACCTAGAAACTAAATTATATGCATCCCCCTGTTTTCACAGGTGGATCTTGCAGGGAAGACCAAAGAAACATATCTAATGCTGGCTGAAAAATGTATTCCTAGTATGCAACTCCAGAAAGTGAGAGTGTGTGTGTGTTTTCCTTTTCATTTAAAAGTCTTTCATCCAACCTTATGCTATTCTTTTTCTCTTCCTTAGTCTGGCACTTCTGTTAGTCTGTGGGCTCTCCTTTCCCTATTATGCTCATTTCTTTTGCGCATCACTTTACTTTTAACTTCCCTGCTACAATAAAAAAATGACCTATTCAGGGATACTTTATATGCCCACATTATTGCATGTGCCCAATACTGCAAGGCTGAAATGGCCTGTACCCATAGGGTACAACTGCAATTCTCTCTAACTACAATTCTGCTGCTGGCCATGTTGTCTTCACATGTGCAGCAAGTCACTGACAATGTGAAAGCAATATGGGCAGGCTTTTAGTGAGATGGCCTGGAAGCAGGTGGCAGAGGGACTTCTGATGATGATAATCCACAACACCAAAGACGACAGAATCTCTGTGTACCTGTCTCAGGGGATGATGAATGAAACAGGGTATGGGGTTAAGGAGGGCAGAAATAATGGGCTTCTCGTCAGATGATCACTTTTATTCAGGAAAATTTAACAGCTAGTGATGGTGTTATGTGCTTACGGGAATGCTGGAAAGGTGGAATTTAATGACCTTTTCGGCACTCAGCACTTGCTGATATCTGACATCATCAAGGTATAAAAGGGCTTTATGAACATTAGCTATTTGAACCTCACCATATTCCTGAGGCATAGTATAGATCAATGTCCTTGGGATCAAACCCCTAGACGCCCATTGTTTTATTAGACTGAAATGTATTCTTCTGTGAGTCACTAAAATTCCCAATTTCACCACTACCTGTAGATACATTTCAACAGTCTATGTCCAGAAGGAGCTCTGCAGTGATTAATTATGTTCTCAAAGAGACTTTAAAGACAGCTGTCAGCCACATTTGTTTAAGACTCACTGACAAAACTTGGTTCAAATCCATTAAATGCAATCTGGCCATGAACCTGGGAGACCAGGGGAACAGAGTAAGCATCATTACTCACTTAGTGAGCTGATCATTTATTGAATCATACCATTTCCATGGGGTGCACTGTGAAAAGCAGTGGTTCTCAATGTTTTTATACTCAGGGCAGCTGTTGATAGACTCCAGGCACCCCTCTGAAAATGTCAGCTCTTAGTTTTACCTTGATTTTTGACTACACAAAAATAATAGAGCAATACTTCTGTTGCAAAGAACTCACAAAGACTATAGCAGGTCAGAATATGTTTAATCCCATGGTTAAGAATCACTAGTGTAGAGGCAGGTTTGCAGGCCATGATGTATTTATAAGCCTTTGAAAAATATGTCCTTGGTATTGTTTAGGATAGTTAATTAAAAATGGAGAGAACTTGTCAGATTGTTCTCTGCAATCTATTATCATAGCAAAACCTTAAGTTGTTGAAATGTGTCATGGAAATTTATCACAGATTTCATAGACATTAGAACTGGACGGGATCTTGCAAGATCATTGGGTCCAGCCCCCTGCCCAAGGGACAGGCAGTTAACAGGGGTCAAATGAACCCAGCAAGATAGACATCTAAGTGTTTCTTAAAGGAATCCAGGGTAGGTGCCTGCCCCACCTATGGGTGGAATTTATTCCAGGCCCTGGGGACTTGGACAATAAATACATTTTTCCTTATGTCCAGCCTAAAACTGTCTTCCAAGAGTTTGTGACCATTGGACTTAATCTTCCCAGTCTTAATGAATCTTCAGTCAGGAATATTTCTCAGATCCAGGATAGAATTTCTTCTTAAAATGACAGAGCAAGATAGAGAGTGAGCCACAGACATAGCTGCCCCCATCCCCAGTACACCTAGCAGCTACACTGCTGTGGGGATGTGGAAGTCTTAAATTCAACTCTCAAGCCTGATCTGGAACAGGCACTTGAACCTGGGGCT